AAAGACTAAATAAATATCCTCTACTGTTCTAAACTGCTACTTGTGTTATTTTTGCCTACAGGTGGCACTGGTTGGACTGATCAGAGTCAGACAAAAATAGTACACATGATCTTTATTTGATAGTTGCACTGCACCAAGTAGGTTAAAAAAAAAATTTGGGCTATTGAGCAAAATTTTCTATTCCAATATCATCATTCTGAATTAAACCAATATCGAAGTGACTATAATAGCAGGTCTACAATTGATTTGGGTGCGTACGTGTGTCCTCAAGCAACGTCTTTTATCTTGTAGATTTATGGCATTGAGAGGCTCTGGGCAACACGTCAGATGTCACCTTGCATAGCAGAAATTAAAATGCTTTTCCAGTTGCTGCAATTTCTCAAGCTCCTTAAGAGACAGCTGTTGCCATCTGCACATTTGGAATAAGGAAAAGCTTGTGGAGGAAAGAGGGGGAGGAGATGTTTTGCTGGATCTTTGCAGATTCCACGGCGATTAGGAGCACCTTCTCTTCACGTAATGCCTTTGAAAGTGAGGTTGAGGATTACTAATTGGATTAAATGGAGCCAGTGACATATATTGCACTTCTCACCAGTACAGAGCGTGTAATCTGGTCATTTACCGACTTTCTTTTTCTAAGATGTCCCAGAAGAACTTCAGAGTTGACACCAATAAATTCAACCTCTCAGATCACCTATTGGTTAAACAATGTGGACCAGACATATATGTTATATTTTTTTTTATTTGTGTAGTTTAAGTTTGTGGCTATCATTGCTCTTATAGTTTATCCTCTTCTGTTTCTGCTATAAATATAACACACATCACCGGCTGCTCCTGGGGCTTATAAAAAGCTCACTATGACACTGGAAGGACATGTTGTGAGAGAGTATTATACATTAGATTACAAGAGGTGTTAGTAAAAGTCAGAGTGCCAATGAAAAAAAAGATCGACTCCAAAGGATGCATTTAATACTAATATTTCAACCAAAACTGGTCATTGTCTTTTTCAAACATTTATAATAGAATGGCTGACAATGGCTGACTTTGGATAAAATCATGGGAAATACATTAATTAATCACAGGTTAGTGTTTGGATATTTCTCATTAGAATGGCAAATGTATAAGGTCCATATAGACTGTACTGCTTCTGTGTAATATGCATGGGCAGTTATTATCATTGTTTGCTAATTTTTGCACATGCATATTTACATATTTACCATACCCTCAATGGCCACTTAACAATCAGTGGACACTTATACAATCTAAATTAACAGTTCAGCCATAAATTCTACATTTATGAATGTCTAGTTTCCATAGTTAAAGGTGGTGTTGAACTTAACAACATTAAATTGAGAGGTGTTTCTAGTTTTTGTCCTTCCAAGGACAGACCACTAGCCAACCACTAACTATGGGCTCAATGCTAAAATTGAATTAATAAATCTATGACCGCATAAAAAAAACAGCAAATTAAGAATGCAGCAGAAAGAATCATAAAGGGGGCGTGGCCTTGTGGCTACAGAGTGTGTGACGCGGGAGGTAACACCACCACATTTGAC